AAACCTTGTACTGGCTCTCCTGCATGACACATGTAATGTTCTTAAACAAAATGTCCCTCCAAGCAGAAGGAGACATAAAAAATTGTGGGGCTCTAAGATTGTCTTTGAGTAAACAAACAAGGCATCTTTCAATGAGTTGTTGGCATATTTCTCCCTTTAAGAATTGAACTTCTTCATGCACAATGGCTCCACTTGATGCTACTTTTGGCTGGCATTCCTCAAGACAAGCCACTGTACACACCCAACTAATGGGACCCTGAATACTATGGGAATATACAATCATTAAAGGAGAACTACAAGATATGAATTGTATGATTAAATATGACATCAAAGGCATTAAATCTTCCCCATCTAAATCTTCATGTGAGCCATGGTTGAAGAGTTGTAAACTCATGAGGTGGGGCAGCCTCACATGCTTTGCATGGTTTAATGTGGAGTGCATAAAAAGAGTGAAGTTGTGATGTAATAATATCACCCCCTTCATTAATTGGTGAGAAATTCTTCTTTTAAGTCTTTTTTTTTTTATGAACAGTTAAATATTTGATAGTTTTATAAGAACTCATGTCTTTTAATGGAGAAATTATTCTGTGCGGTCACCGGACAATCCGAAGACGAATGAGTAGGGGTGTCAATTTCGGGTCACGGGTCGGGTTCGGGTCGAACCCGACTTGACCCGAACCTAAACGGGTCAACCCGAACCCGACCCGAGCCGGGTTCGGGTCAACCCGGATTGACCCGTCGACCCGGTTTCAGGTAAACCAATCCAGCAAGACTAAACCCAAACCCGACCCGTTTTGAGAACGGGTCGGGTCAGACCCGAAATTTCCGTGTCGGGTTCGAGTCGGGTTTTCGTGTCGTGTCACTTATTGACACCCCTACGAATGAGAGCGCACCACATCATTCGGTACACACTGGTACACAGCACCGATACACAAGAAGAAATGACGTGACACGCTCTCATTAGTGTCTAGAATTTGTTAGAATTTTCTCATTAGAATATTCATGCACGTTTTGATAATAAATTTGTTTAAAATTAAACTTAGCTGGTCCTGAGTGTGATGAGAAAGTTTTGAATTCAAATACTTGCTTCAATACCTGTAACTGATTGGAAAATTCTTTTTATTACACATCTACCACTTTTCTGGTCTTCTCCCATTCTAGCCAAACTAAGCCTATAATATTTCTCACTATATATTTACTTATAGTTTTTTTTTTACTTTTTTTAAGAAAAAAATTCTATTAACTTATATTCATCTTTACTAATTTACTATCATTAAGGCCTCTAATTTCAACTACTTAGTACCGATTTTAAAATTATGTAAACTTTTTTTTTCATATAGATGTAATTAAAAATTAAAATGATTCCTTAAAATGATTCTATAAAAACTATTGCATGGCCTTATAATAAGGACAAAAAAACCATTCTTAATTCTTCACATATATGATCATAAGTAATTCAAAAATGATAAAAAAAAAGTAATTAAAAAATGATAGTCATCAGCTAATTTCCTTAAATAACTTCTAAAAGAGAATTTTCTTACTTCAAATTTGTTTACATCATATTTATATTTTAGCATTAAATAAAATAAAAAATAAAAAAATACTGTAGCTTGGATTTGATAGAAGGCTAACAAGATTGAAAGATAGCTATCATGATCAGCAATATTACCTTGAAAGATACATGACGCAAATTCAAAACCTATATCAGATCAGCTCCAAAGGCTAGCTATTAATATTATTCTCCAACTTTTGCCTCTCATATCAGCACTTTATCAGTCAACAAAGCTCATCTTCTATTCATTTACAGTAATTTAATCATTTCATTACCTCTTTTTCTATCTGTTCATTACAATATCAGAAAGGTCCCATAGCTAAACTATAACAAGCAGTGGTGCAAGCTCTGAAAATAGTTAATTTTGACCAGCTTAAACGATAAAAGTTATTTGTCTGTAAGCAGCTCTAATGAAAATAGATTACAGTGTAAAGATATCTTTTTTCCTTTTCTTAAGGAGAGGTTCGAACTGATGAAAGCCTCAGCTTCTCGAGAAATTATTCTATGCGGAGACCAAACGAAGGGCGCCGTCCGGAGTCCAATCAGAATGCGTCTCATCAATGGTACTGAGCCGTGGTAGAAGGGAATGGGTGATGTGGCGCATTCTGATTGGTCTACGGACGGCTTAACGTCCACGCAGAATAATTAATCCAACTTCTCAACTATGCTGACCAAAAAATTCAAATTTGTATTGTATGGATTAATTAGAGACAGCTTGTTATATTCACCGGTGCATGGCTTTATTTTGTATTGTATGTTTCGAATTTTTAATGAATATTTTTAGCAATTTTACAGTGCAAATAGCTTAATTTTAAGTAATGATTAAAAATCATTATCTCTATATTTAACATCTAATTAAAATAATGTTATCTATATATTTAACGTCTAAAAGTTATTATTTACTCTTATAACATTTTAAATTTTAAATAATAACAATAAAAATACCATGTTACCATGAACTAGTTCCATCAAAGCTTCTCCTTCACACACGATATTAATACTATTGATGTGCTTCACAACAATATCCCGATGCTCGTTAACAAGATCACATCATGACTTTCTCATATATTTTTTCATCATCGACCTATACAGATCATCGATCCTATAGTCAGTGAGATATTGTTATGTCTTATATATGCATCTCTTAGTTGTTTTTGAGAGTCGACCGTCGCATGTTGTTGGTTCCATCCTCAGCATTATCTTGACTTCCACACATCTTCTTCACCCTCTAAGATTCCGAGACTTTGAATAGGAACGATGATCTTAAGTACAATATAAGTTTAACAAATAGTTAAGTTTAGATATATAAAGTATGTAAATAAAATAATTTCAAATATTATATAGATAAATTCCTCTTCTTGATGATACAAAACACAGTATATTTGTTATGACACAAATAAAAATTTTGAGCGTTTTTTATAAGTACAAAATCAATATTTTATTTAGAATAATTTTCTTATTACTTTTTAATAAAACTTTCTTATACAAAAATTTCTAATTCAAAAAATTTTGTAATAAAAAACTATTTTAAAAAGTAATACGAAAGCAGGGGCGGATCCAGCCTTTTATTTCAGGGTGGGCAAATTTTGCATATGAATATTGATACATCATCACAAAATTAGCTTGATCAGGCACGAATCTCGAGGCAAAAACTAGTTGGAGACTTCAAAAATTAAATCCGAGAGCATCCGAACTCCATGCGTCTCATCAATGGTACTGAGCCGTGGTAGAAGGGAAGGGGTGATGTGGAGCATTCTGATTGATCTACGGACGGCTTCAACGTCCACACAGAATAATTAATCCAACTTCTCAACTATGCTGACCAAAAAAATCAAATTTGATTTGATAACTCTTCATTAGATGAGCATTATGTTGATAGTTCTGACAGACAATGCATAACTGTTTGGGAGACGAGAGACAGCTTGTTATATTCACCGGTGAAGAAAATGCTCTTTCCACTGTAGCGGTAGCAACTGGTAAAGTCAATGCTCAAGTTGGTCCGTTTGCCGAGGCGGTCAAGTTTTATGGCTTCTTCTCCACGATTGCCAAAAGCCGAAGAACTCCGCTATTGGGGCTGGCGGCTCAAGTTGGTCCGTTTTTTTTTTTTTTTTTTTTTTTTTTTTTTTTTTTTTGGGCGAAATAGGGCAAAATAGGGCAGCTGGGAAGAAAATGTCTAAACTACCATTAATTTTAAAAAAATTCGAGGGTGGTCAATTGCCCACCCTCACGGCATCGTAGGTCCGCCCCTGTACGAAAGTTATTTCAAACAAAACCTAAGAGCTTATATATAACTTTTTATTAAAAAAATTCTTCCCAAATGCATCAAAGTAAACACAAATCTTCGTCCATGTTTCTATAAATTACTTCGAAATATTTTAAAGCAAAATAGAATATTTTGAAATCAAGTATGTGTCATGTGAGTTGTGGTAGGTTGAAAAAACGTGGTGAGCAGCTAGCATCTCTCTGTTGACTATAGGTATGAGAGTTGGGTGGGCCCAATTAACTTTGAATAAATATATCATAAAATTAGTTCTAATTAATCATCTGAATTTTCTTTCACATAATATTAAGTAGATATGTACATGTATAATCATTTTTACAAATATTTGTCTTCACAAGTTTTTTAGTTGTTTATTATTGAGGAGGGATAGAGAGGCTTACAACAAGGACAAAGAGGCCATGGCAATGGCGAAGAGGCTGATAATCGAGATGGACAGCAACGTGGCTAATAGGTCGATCATGCTAATCACCAAGTTACAGAGAGGATGTTCTTGTGACACGAGGCTAAGTGTTTGGAATTCGAGCAATTATTATATCCGGTGTCCGAATGCTTTCAGAGACCAATAACCACGCTCCACGTCATCTAAAACTCAGTATTTTGGACTCGTTATTACTCATTATACATTCAGACCGTTCGGTTTTTGACCGGATGTAATAATTTCTCTTGGAATTCAACCAATAAGGCTAATTTCTCATATGCTCAAAATGAAAAGAGATAGAAGAAGAGAAACACAAATCTCCATATAATTAGATTTTGATATAATGACAATTGAATGAAAGAACAATATTGCTCATTCTCTTTGATGTTTTATATAATGTTAAGTATTTTTAAAACCGTTTAGGGTAATTTTTAAGTATTTTTTTAAAAAAATCATTTATATAACGATTTATAAATGTTATTGATGGATTAAAATTATATTGCTTATATATATCAATGATATTTAAGTTACATAGCACCCAGTCCGAGGAGCATTACTGCTCTCATTAAATAAGAAATTAAGCATCCAACGAAAAAATCGCAATTCATATTTCTTTTAAAAAAATATGTTTTGGTTCTGTCTGGCCGTTGGCATAAATATGCAATTATTCTCAGCAGAGCTCGCAGTGAGAGAGAGAGAGCCAGCGAACGAGCGTGAAAGGAAGCGTGGAGCAGCCTCAACGTCACTGGCAGGCTATTCATTGCGCGAGTTCTCCTTCAAAACCATTGTTCTTTTAAATGTCCCTAGAAATTCGAAGCACTTGCGCTTCCTTTCCTCTTTCTTCTTTGTTCTCTCTGTCGGATTCATGAATTGGTGTAGCAAATTTTCTAAAAGTTTCAAACGAATCTTCTTCTTCTTCGCTCTCCTTCCCGTTCTTTCGGCGCACTCATTCGTCTCATAAGTTTGATTCGAAAGCTCCATCAGCGAATAGGAGTTCATTTCCAATTCCAAGTTCACCGCCCTCCTTTCCATTCCCTTTTTGTAGGTAGAAAAGAAACCCAAAATCCCTCCTTTCTTCTTCTGTCTAACTCCTCTGCTTCGCTTCTGCCTCTATAACAGAGAGCTTCACTGTTTAAGATGATCGCGTCATCGCCTGATTCCGACGGGGAAATCGGCTCCGAGATGGTTAACTCGAGCCAGAGCTCGATGAGTAGTGGAAGCTGCGAGCGTTGCAGCAGCTTCTCGCGGCTTTCGTTCGACACGGCTGCTGCGCCACAGGCACCGGATTGCTCTTCGAAGCCCCATCGCTCCTCCGACGCTGCCTGGGCGGCCATACGATCGCGCGGTGCTGGCCGCCTTGGTCCCAAGGATTTTAAGCTCCTCCGCCGTATCGGTTCTGGCGACATTGGCAATGTATATCTCTGCCGCCTCCGTGATGACCACGGCGACGAACTCCACCCGTCGATGTACGCCATTAAGATCGTCGACAAGCAGGCTCTTGAAAAGAAGAAGAAGCTTGGAAGAGCTGATACAGAGAGGCGGATCTTGAGGGTTCTAGACCATCCTTTTCTCCCCACTCTTTACACTGATTTCGACGCCTCCCCACACTTCTCGTGTGTAGTAATGGAGTATTGCAGTGGCGGGGATCTCCATTCACTTCGTCATCGCCAACCTGGCCGCCGATTCACCCTCCTCTCTGCCAGGTTTCTCTTCTCTTCCAATCCCTCTTGCAGGGGAAAAAATATAATTAAAAAAGTCTCCTTTTTGGCGTATCTACCTAACCAATAAATAATTTAAGTTAAAAATGTTCGTCTCTTCAGGTTCTACGCGGCGGAGGTTCTCCTCGCCCTCGAATACCTCCACATGCTCGGAATCGTCTACAGAGATCTCAAGCCTGAGAACATCCTCATTCGATCTGACGGTCACATTATGCTATCCGACTTCGATCTTTCCCTCGAGTCATTCTCCGCCCCCGTCGTCGAGTTCATCGAAGCAAATCCCGCCACGACCGCAGCAGCCGTGAAGCCCTCGTGCCTTCCAAACCGGCTTTTCCGGTCGAGGAAGGCCGGTAGACGAGCGGCACAGCCGGAGCGGAGGTTCGTGGCGGAACCGGTGGAAGCGCGGTCAAACTCCTTTGTCGGGACACATGAGTACGTGGCTCCTGAGGTGGCAGCCGGCGGGGCCCACGGCAGTGCCGTCGATTGGTGGGCCTACGGTGTTTTCCTCTACGAGATGCTCTACGGGCGGACTCCATTTGCGGGGCCCACCAACGAGGCCACCCTTCGGAATATTCTAAAGCAACCGCTGGCCTTCCCGCAGCCGGAAGCTGCTGGCGCTGCCGCCGCAACCGCCGCTCGCGACCTCATCGCCGGCCTTCTGAAGAAGGATCCCTCGGCGCGACTCGGTTCCCGACGCGGAGCCGCCGACGTCAAGACACATAAATTCTTCAAAGGGCTCAATTTCGCGCTCCTTCGCTCGTGCCAGCCGCCTATGGTGCCAGGCCCGCCGGGCCTGGCCCGATCAGCGTCGTGCATGGAGCGCCAGAAGCCCGCCCGCTTCGCCTACTTCTGAAATCTTAGGAATAGAAGTACACGTGTCATGAACTGAGACGTCGATCAACAAAAATGGAAGCTTCTACGTAGTTGTTAAGCATTACAAGTTTTGTATGCGACTCGAAAGTATATAGTTTTCTCTATGGATAAAAGTACAATACTCACTGCGACTTTTTTGTTAGCTTTGATTATTAAGACGCTAATGGTTTAATTAAAGATTAAAAATATCATCTAATTGTAATTAGGTGGCGCTGTTTTCGATAATCAAAGTTATTAATAGTCGCTAAGTTGTACGTAGAGTGGTGACGTGTCGACGCTAGAATTCTGAAGCTTTAATCAAAGTCAATACGTTGTACGATCTCTGCCGTCTATTAAAGGAACCCAAGTCAGACCACAGGTTCGCCATGTGCGCCTCACGTGCTAGTAGGGGGGAGGGGGGATTTGGTTCTATGTGTCCCGCACAAAATATCGCACGTGGCTTAAAGAGGTTCTAGACAATTCAATTTGTGCTTAGTTTGCCCTCGATTTAAGCCTTAATTTTGACCAAGGAATTTGGTTTATATTTGATTTAGGTTTTAATTGTGATAATTTTTTTACTATTTTATAAAATTATTAGTATACAGATTTTTTTTCATTTTAGATGAAGTAATATTAATAATATTTTAATATAATTTTAAATTTGTTGTTTTATATAAATAAATATAAAATTTTAAATTTTAAAAATAAAAGTATGTAATAATTTTTCGTTAAGTATATAAATTCCTCAATAATGTAAATTTGAATGGATTTGCAACATCCCACATCATGATAGAGAACATTGCGATTCTTATATTTGTCATAATAAATAAATAAAAATAAAAATAGGGAAAATAAGTCAATTAAAATATAGAAGCAAATATATATATTCATTAACTATTAGAATACTTAGCAAGACTAAGGCTTTGAAATTGCTTTTTTATTGTTTCTTAAAATTATTATTTTTAGTATAAAAATCAATCAGAAAGCCGCCTCAATTAAAGCTTAAGTTTATTGTCTTTTTTCTTCCAAATTTTATATATATATCTCAATCCTCATTGAGTTGAGATCTGACAAATTGGATTGAAATTAAATTTTTTAATTTGTTTGATTTTCATTAGACAAAAGTTTTAGACTTAGGTTTCGTGTGAGGTAATTTCTTTATTATTTTCTAAAACAGCTTTTTAGTAAAAAAAAGTTTTTAAATTAGAAATTTTTTTATTAAAAAGCTAATTTAGAAAGCATCAAGAAAGCTGTTCGAAATAAAGCTTTAGACTTTATTTAGAACATATTTCTTTCTTCTTTTTAAAGCATCATTTTAATATAAATTTTTTTAGTAGTTCAATATTTTTTTTACCAGAAAATCATCTTAAAAAATAATAAAAAATTTGTCCAAACACAGTCATCAAGTTATTTAAAACATATATTAATACAAATAATAAGTTATAAGTATTATATAAATAACATAAGAACATAACTCTGTAATGAAATAACTATCCTTACACAAAATGTTAAATATTGAATAATGAGAATTTAAATCAGTTTATCAACCTTAATTATTCATTTATAAATTAATTTTGACTATATATATAGTGCGTATTTGTGGCACGAATTTCAAAGCTGAACATGTGTTGCGTGATTAGGTGCTTATTACTGTCAAAAAGGGTGTGTGCTGCCATCTAAAAATGGGGAAGCATCAGCGGATTGTATGGCCTAATGCGCCATTATTTTATTGGCTTTATAAGCCCTTAACATTTATTAATAAGAGGTGAGCAATAATGGTAACGTGTAGAAAGGACTGCGAGCCGTAAATATTTGGCTGCCATGAAAGCCTCAGGGCAGGTCTACTTGCCCAGAACAAGGGCTAAAGATAAGAAGAAGATAAAGCCTCGCCTATTATATTTTTATTTTTATTTTCTAGGATGAAGAGAGAGGGGATAATATCAAATAGTTTCTTAATTACTTTGTTTGATTATCACTTCTTTTGTTATTAGTAGTTTTTATGGTTCATATCTTGTCCTAGCCTAACCTCTTAAGATTCTTCGATTCGGTTGAGTCAATTGATTTCTTTTGCTCAAATCAAAGAGCCACCAGATTTTTCTCATCGAGTCAATCATTTTGTTACATTTCATTGATTTCTTGAAGAAAATAATTATGATGAATCTCCATTATCAAAATTATTTAATTTATAGTATAATATATATAAATTTGATTCATTCTTAAGATATGGCAACCATCTTAAAATAAACTAAATATTTTGAATTTATTTTAAACAAAATTTTATTACGATGGATCTTTTTATAATTCCTAATATGGGATAAAATTATCAATTATTTAAGAAAAAAAAAATAATAAATGCTAAACAATATGAATGAGTGAAGTAAATATGAAATTTGATGGAGGGGGTCAAAATTGAGATGAGTTAATTTTGATAATGATGACACATTTGGTAATATGTGATGTACCCTAAAAGGTTATAAGCTCTGCATCTTATTTTGTGATAAAAAAATAAAACAATAAAAAAAAAAATATATTTTGAGGTAATAATTATTTTAAACATAAGTAAAAATTCAAAAAAAAAAAAGTTGCCATTATTTAGGTTAATTATATATTAGATGGATATTCATATTATAAAATATTTTCGAATTAATATATTGAGTAAGACTATCATATTCTTCTAAATAATAATAATAATAATAATAATAATATTTTTTTAATAAAAGGAGCATTAACTAGTAAATAAATAAATAAATAATTATTGCATGAGGGGAAAGGAGAAGAGCAATGTGCTTTATTGGGCCGGCGCGCATATTTAGATGGGCTTTTTCGTTGACTTTAAACCAAAGGGGGACTATCGATGATGCCACGTCACTACATGCTGATGGATTCTTACCTTTCTCAGATCAGTTCTATTAGGCACTGTTACACGCAATGTCATAAACAGAATATTTTTTTAATGAAATATATAATAATAAGGATAAATATTTTCATTAGACCTATCTTTTTTTAAATTTTACAGTTCGTTGATTTCAAACATATATATTTAAATGAAAGAAAATCCATTTGAATTATAAATCCTAAGAATTTTTTTTTTTTACAAAAGACTGCTCTTTATTTATTTTTGATGCAATTACATACATAAAAAAAATTTAGGTATTACAAAAATTATATAATTTTACATTCACTTTTTAAATTCTCATATAAAAATAAGAATTTACAACTGGCCTTTTTTTATTTTTATTTTTTTTGCTTTTGTCAAATTTTTTTAAGTTACGTATCTCACTTTGATATGCTTGTTGAGAGCTTCCTCTATCAACCAAGAGGTCTTAGACTTCCTCATCTACGGGTATGTGTGAGTTTATCTTAACTAACTTAAATGTCCTAAAAAATCACGTAAGTTTGTTTATTTTTGAAAAAAATATATCCGAAAGTTAATTTTGAACTATAATATCATTATTTTGAATTAAGAGTTAATGATCAACTACATAAGCAAAAATATATTATTTAATTTTAGATAGTGACAAATACTTATAGCATTATCCATCAAGAAAGGCAAAAAAATTTTGCCTGTAAGCATCTTATTGTTTTTAACTCAACATTTTTCATATTCTCGTTCCAATCAACTTAGTACATCTCTTCCCCCATTTCTAAAATTGCTTACTAAACCCAATATTATATTGATATGTAAAATCCAATTATAATGTACTAGATTGGGGAATTCTTCTGGTCTCATAATATATCATTTCCCTTTTTAGCACTCTCAATGTCTTCTTTCACGACATTTTACCCATAGGTACCTTAAACAAAACTTTCTCATCTTCATCACTAAATAAAAAAGCCTCATATTTGTCATGATTGAGATGCCACAATACACAAAGAAATATATCATAAGCTTTTAGATATCATCCCTCTCAATGCACTCCAAAAAAAAACCTATCAATATCTAAGTTCTTGATGTTTTTGTTTCCACCTAAGTAGTTATCTAAGAGCTCACTCATTTTGCTCATCCTATTGAATTACCCCTCAATTGGATATTCTTCAAACTCCAACCTAGTATTGCACATTCAACTATGCCAAGTATAGTATTTTAATCCCCAATGTTGAACTCTTCTTATTTTTCTTTTTTAACCCTAAAAAATTCATAAATTATGTCGGCCATATGTCAACAGCCATCAATTAAAAGATGTGCGTGACATACATAGCCAACCAACCCTTTTATGTTGAACTCAACATAGTTGCTCTAACTCTCATTATCATAAACTATTCTTAGTGATAGTGATGAATGATGGCCTTGAAAAATAGCAATTAATAACATTCAAAGAACTGCTTTTGAAGGGGTGAGTCTATGCATTTACATGAAGCTCATTAACATCAAATTGTCTAATAATATTCTCTATCACACCCCAACTCTCTATGTGAATAGTATAATCTAATATCTCTCCACAAGCTTTTTCATCTAATTCTCATTACCTCTCCACATCTCTCTCTACAAGTATAATCTAATCTTTACACACATTAAAACAATTAAATTACTCGATTTCAAAAGATATTAGGGGAAAACAATACAAATATAACCACCTTGATTGAACCAAATTCAAACAACTTTTTTATTGTTTTCTCACTGCTTTTCAAAAAAATTTATGATAGAACACTGTTTTTTATAATCTAAATAGCTAAGTTGTTTTCCTCACAGTAATTTCATAACCCACTTAAAAAAAAAAAAACTATTGATGTCCCAAACAAACCCTTAAATTCGTTTGTAATCCGGGGATTTTAACTATGAAAAAGCTTTACACTCAGGGAATAAGATATTTCTAAAAATAATTATATATAATGGGCCATCATCAATAAAACATCACAAATTTGGTATCTATCATGTTGCATTTGATCACTAGTTGCAAATTGATAAGAGAAAAACAATTATTTCTTAAAATAAGTCAAGAGAAGTAACTATACCAGACAATATTCAAATAAACAAGAAATGCCCCAGAAAATACAGGGTAAAACCATCAAACTCATTTGAAATTTATAATGGCCAACTATTGCATCCAAAGTCAACAAAATTATGATTCAAGATGGAATAAAATACAATTTAGTTGCACTAAAATAAAAAATAGAAAGTAATCTCTCTTCAAGTGCATGCATAATGAAGTACAACATGCTGAAATTTTATGTTTTAGCTTTCTAGCATTACATACAACATAACAAAAGCACAATAATTTGAATGGAATATTCAACCACAAAGCATACGAGCTTGGCTCTTCTAGCTTGCCGTTGGGCATTTTATGACTGTAAACCGGCCAAAAACCTGCATGACAGACGTGCTTAAAAACAGTAGAAATTTCTATCAAAGCAAAGATGTAAACGTTTGATTCAGTAAGAAAATAATAATAACAAAATATAATTCGAGGATTTTGCTTGTTTGGCTCTCAAACCCCACAAAAAGTAAGAGAAACTAAAGACTTTTATGACAAATAAGTGCTTCAACTAGTATGATTCAGCCTACCTATAGCATTTAAATGATCAATTGTGCATCTATGACTAGGAGCTGGTGGTGTCCCAAAAATCATACTGTAAATGCCTAATAAAAGCGTTATGATTCAGGCTTCATTTGAGAAGACTTTCTTACTGCTTCTTAAAGCAGCTTTTTAATACAAAAAATTAAAAATTTTGTACTAGAAAGCTATTTTAAGAAGCTTTAAGAAAGCTGTCTCAAACAAAGCCTCAAAATATCGAGTTCAGGATAATGGATTAGCTGTTGCTATGTAGTACTCGTGGGATTCATGCAAAACTTAAAACAAGATTAATCTATGAAGACTAGTAAAATAGAACTATACTAGTGGGCTTTAAAAGGCTCACACGCTCGTTGGAGTTTCCTTCTGCTTTGTTAGAGTTTTAGGAAGAGCGCCATGGGACTTTAGAAATTGTTTAAATTTTCAAAAGATTTTCCAAGCCATTTGAATATGATTTATTTGACTTTTGCGGGATCAGCACCAAGGATGAGACTTACAACTCCAAATAATGGAGAGGCCAAAAGAAAGGACTTAGAACCCTATAGAAAGCAAACCTAAAGATTGAACTTATGAATCTGACCGTAGAGAAGCCCAAAGGTGGACGCAAATCTTCACAATAGTCTGGAAACCTTACACAAAAGCACCATCAAGTATCAAATTGAAGAAGCCAAAGTCGGGTTATGAGCTTCCGAGATGCAATGTCCATGTCAATGCACTGCATTTGGTTTTGAGGTCTTCAATTTCTTCGAATAATAGGATTAGATATCCTCTTATCTGTCGATGGCCTTCTCCATCTGTTGCTCTATTAGATATAAACTGAGCTAAATTGGTTTGATATGTAGGTTGCCCATCAATCGAAGTCACTAAGGCCAATGATAAATGGGGAAAATTCAAGTTTAGAAAATTTTGGTGCACCTGGAATAATCTATCAATATTTTAGGCACCAAAACACTTTTGTTAATTTTTTACATTTTGTGAGGAAAGGGACTTGCTCGACCTCTCATACAACTCGACTCTATCAAAATAATATTTGTAGTTGGTGATGATCTGTTTATTTAAATTCCATGTTTTAAAGTGTTCATTTTGTTTTTCAGTACTTTGAGCCTCATTTTTACTTGATAATATGCTTAGTGTTCAAATTTAATTCATTCCATTTCTGTTCGAGGATTTATCCAAAATTTTGGTAGATATTCCACATTATCCTCGCAAGCGGGTCTGCAAAAAGTAATCCAAATCATCCCACCATGTAAAAAAAAAGACATCTACAGTGAAAAGCATGACAAAATCATGACCTACTACCTTAACAATGTGAAGAAAGAGGAGAACAGGTGTTGCATTGCACCAAAATAAATCAATGAACTCGAACCAAAAAAGGTGGGTATAAAGACTTGATATTTCCAAAAATTCTTGTAAAAAATATATATATAATATCATTAAGATCCAAAAAATTTTACTAGCACTTCCAAGTTTCCCATGAAGAAGGGTCTAGCCAAAGAGTCAGATGACAAGAAAAGTTTGCATAGTGTGGTGCACAAGGGAACAACTTACTTTTTACTGTCCATCCTTCCAATGTAAAGAAAGACTAAGTATATGTGGTGGAAAACACAGCTAAAAATGAGATTACCAGCCATAACAAGAAATGTGTATGGGTTTTTAACATAAACTCTGATTGTTAGCAAAATAATAACAAAATAATGCATGGAGCCAACCCATCGTACCAAGAAATATATGTATAGCTGATATCATGCAGGCTCTGTTTTGTGAGCAAGCAAATGCACCCACCACATGAGCATTATTTATAGAACACAAGTAAAAGGACACAAAAATATCTAAGAATATTTTTTTAAGAACTACATCACTAGATGTCTAAAAAATTTTCTAAAGCGCTTCATCAACTCCTAATAATCAAACAATTTCTAATATTCAGAGAATTCTAAAAATCGTTTAAATCCATCCCCAACTATTTAAGCCGCCACTTAGGGCTCCTTCAACTGAAATTATGATGCGCAACAAATAAGTGAATTAAAAAAACACAATGATTCAACTCTTTTTTAAGGGAGGTTAATGGGCCCACATAAAGAATTTTATGTGATCATTTAGTTCTTTATGTGGCCGTGTGAAGTCCTTTGCATAGGCACATCATGGGCTCAAAAAATTCATGACTTATCCTTAACAAGAGTTTGGATTCTAGGTTAAATTTTCAAAAGGTGGATTATATTGTAAGGTCAAACACTACTAAAATATTTTGTCCTCATTTTGCGAAGTCTTTAAGATTTGATTCCACATTTCTCATAGGTGTAATCCCCTATGATAATTACTAATTATCTTTCACGATCATGAGAGAGCACTTTCGATTAAGACTAGTCGTCAAACACTAAGCACTTATTGTATAGTTGCAGCAATTTGATTTTAGTATAGAAAAAATTATCACATTTAACTTAAAGTGAATGATGAGAGTAATGATAATGAACACGATCAAGATTATATTGTTCCATCATCCCGAGTTGTCTTCAACTTTGATCTACTTAGTCAGCAAGGATAGATGACAAAACTCGACCAAAGAATTATTGTTAACAACTATAAGTTGCGCCTTCTAAGGAAAGCTTATAAAACTAAGGTGAATGTTTGCCCAATGGGATAATTTTAAGTCACCTTAGCTAAGTTTATGCCCTATAAAGTGCACCATATAATATACAACTCAAGGAGTTGGAGACATAAGGCAATATCTGGGCTATGATCATATTTGTATATGTTAGAAATCAGAGGTTTGAGAAGAAAGCTTGAATTTTATTATACACTATAATCCCTATTTATAGATCTATACATGATGTTTAATAAGGAAATAAATAACTACATAATAATGAAATATAACTCTTCCTAAATCAGTTGCCCATCTATGGAAGGTGTTTAACGTGATTGAGGCAGGCTTCCCACGGATCCCTCATAGCCGTGGGATTAGCATGAGAATGTGAGGCTGGGATTTAACACTCCCCCTCAAGCTAGGGAGTATAGATCTGTCATTTCCAGCTTGGCAATCATTTTGAGAAAGGCAAAGCTGTCCAGTCCTTTGGTGAGGAACTGAGGTAATCTGCGAGTTGATCTTTTGATGGTACATGGTTGATAAACATTAGACCATTGTCTAATTTCTCTTTAATAAAATGTTGATCTACTTCTATGTGCTTGGTCCTGTCATTCTGGACTAGATTGTGGGCTATGCTGATTGCCGATTTGTTGTTGCAGTGTACTTCATGGGATCATCCCACTTGATCCTTAAGTCTTCTATAATCATCTTGATCCATATTATCTCACATATTTCTAAGGCCATAGCTCTATATTCTGCTAATGCACTGGATCTTGCTACCACATTCTATTTTTTACTTCTCCATGTAACTAGGTTCCTTCCAAGAAATGTGCAGTATCCAGAGGTAGATCTTCTATCTACCGGTGATCCCACATAATCAACATCAGTGTATGCTTCTGGGGTTTTTTCGCGATCTCTTCTAAAGAGAATTCATTTCCCTTGGTTTCCTTTAAGGTAGTGCAGTATCCTGTCTACCGCTTGCATATGAGCCTGCATTAAATTTTGCATAAACTGACTGACCATGCTTACGACAAATGCTATATCTGATCTAGTGTGGGAGAGGTAGATCAATTTCCCTACAAGTCTCTGGTAAGACCCTTTATCTACATCTAGATCTTCTTTTGCTTCCCCCCGTTTAAGATTTGATTATACTAGTGTTGGTGCTGGTTTACAAGCTAATTTATCAGTTTCTTTTAAAGATCTTTAATGTATTTCTGTTATGAAATAAAGATTCATTTGCTCGAGTGGGCTACTTCAATTCCGAGGAAGTATTTTAGTCTACCTAGTTCTTTGATATAAAATTGCTTTGCATCACAATTGGACTTTCTTTCTTTTTTTCATTATTCCCAGTTAAGATAATATCATCCACATAGACCAGTAGTATGGTAACTTCTCCTGAGTCTGAGTGCTTAAAGAATAGTGTATGATCTCCTTAACTTTGTTTATACCCATTAAGAAGCATGAATTTTGAGAATCTTTCGAACCAAGCGTTCTTGGTGATTGTTTGAGCCCATATAAAACCTTTTTTTAATCTGCACGCCTTGTTACCTTGAGGACATTATCGGGAGATTTTGAGGCGTCTATCAGAGAAGGCATCGAAGATCGACGACTATGATTAGGAGTCTTTATTTGTGATGCATTTTATGTATTTCTTTTATTTATGTTCTAGTTTTTACCATTGTACCCTTGATAGGGATTAGTTCGTGTTGTAGCCCAGAGGGCAATTTAGTCTGTCTTTTATCTCTTGAGGCCTATATATGAAAGCCCTAGCTTTTGTATTGGAATTTTTATGATGATTTTGAATAAAAACTTCAGCACTTATTCCTTTTCTTTGCTGTGAGCTCTTGAGAGAGAAGAGAACCCAAAGAGAGGGTCAAGCAATTCCCGTCATCCGCCGGTAGAGTCTGGGCTCGCGATTTGTATCCATTATTGTTCCTTATTTCCTCTTCCTCTTCACCATACCGCCATCTACCCACCTCCACCTAAATTTTGAACAAACCCTCTCCCTCCACCCAAACCCGCCAGCTAAGCCCTTCCCCATCCCAACCGCTGGCCACCTTTCACTAAATCCTCACCGTCGACCAAGCCCCCTCTCTCCACCTACTCACCGGCCCAATCCCCTCCCCCCTTCCCCTACCGCCGGCCAACAAGAAATCCTAGCCTTGTCGATGGCCACCCTCCCAATCCTCCAAGGCTCCAATTTCCAATCATCCA